GCATAGTAAAGGCATCAGGCATACCCACTGCTTAATTGAATTGTCCTCTCCCTCCTCCCAATAACCAGTAAGGTATGCGTGTTCTTCAAGAGATAGGAGATGAACCATCCTCTCTGCCATCTCTTTGATGATTGGTGGCTTCGATGATCTCGTTAAGCCTAGACCATGGGCGGGGGTTCTGTAGATGTTGATTTTGAAACGCCAAAAAAATCAGAATTTTGATACCCAGTTTTCTGTAAAAACTCATTTCTCAGAGATCTAGGGCGTGGTTCCTCAAATTCGGTCAACAAGTTAAAGTGACAACAGAAAAATCTATACAGCATGCAAATGGCTATCGGAAAGCTCAGCTATATTGACCGAAGGTTAGGAAACAACATGGTTACTTCATAAATTTGAATAATGTTGACGTTAACAAAGGAGCGAAGTAGTCCATGCATCCCATTCACCGCGGCGTGTTAGAGGTAAATGGCAAATTCATCCCAAGTAGGAATCTAGACATTGGACTTATTAAAAACGTTCGCGTGCCCTCTTCCTGAGAAGATTTTTGTTCTCCTAAAACCACCCACAATCGAAAATTATCGGAAATGTGTTAAAGGACGAATTCACGATTAGAATGAAGGTCGAAGAAGGAGTAATTCACCTAGTTGAGGGACCCGCGGACCTCCTAAGGGTGCGGACTGAAGCGCAATTGGCACCGAAGGAGTTGACCTCGGCGACCTATTAAAGGCTCAATCTTGGCGCGGTGGGCCAGTGCACGCCCACCGATCATCTGATCACTCGTCCGCAGGTCTATACGTGGCGAGTGATTAGATGTTGAAATGGGTTGCCTTTCCAGGTCTTGAATTAATCCTTTAAAGGACGAATTCACGCTGGGAAGGCAACCCATTTCAAATTAACTCAGGGATGGTGATTGGTACACGAAAGAAGGAAGAACCATGAGAAACGGCCCAGAACCCGAGAAATGGGACCCCTTCCTTCCCCGCTGATTTGCGCATTGATGCGACTCTTATCGCTGTGCCCTCCTCAACATCACGCTCTCTCTGCTATCTAATCAATCCCACGTATAGATCTGCGGCGAGTGATCAGCTGGTCGGTGGGCGGAGATCGCCAGACCCGCCAACTTTGAGGCATAATAGGTCGCCGAGGTCAAATTTTTCGATGCGAATTGCGCATCAGTTCGCACCCTCAGGAGGTCCGTGGGTTACTCAACTAGGTGAATTACTTCTTCCTCGACCTCCATTCTAATCGTGAAATCCTCCTTTAAACATCGCATCGAGTGCAGCTCTTGTACCGTAATTCGTAACCATACCGTATTTTCCTTTCAAAGCGACCCATTTAGCTTGAACATACATCGCGCCTCCCTCGTCCTCCGCTCCTTCGCTTTCTAAAATTACAACAGGCGGTTCTCGCACTTATTTGAGCTAGGTGAACTGGTGAAACCTTGCCTCTCGTAGTCAGAAACAATGAAGCAGATCTCATTCACCGAAGACGGGAAGCTCGCTTTTAGCTTTTGGCTACGTGCGCCATCTCCGTCAATATATTGTGATAATAGATTAGATCTATGCAAAAGAAGAGAGGGGGAAGCCAAATGACTAAGACATGCCCAGTGTCGTCACACGTCTAGCATTCCGTCGAAATTGGAATGCCTGATTCATTTCATATTAGTTAGGATATTGCTCACCCCAATTAGGCTTCCAGGAACTTTACAATGATATTGTTCATATTTAAATTCCGAGACCTTTATTAAAGTTCCGGAAATTTCTCCACATGATTCTCCTCTAAATTCAGTCAATCAAAGTCAAGTCGCCACACACCGCGGCGCAGCTGTTTCGAGGCTGACCACAAAAGCCATTTCGTCTCCGTTGATATGGCCCTTTATTCCGCCTCCAGCGGGTGCACTTTCGTTTTCTTCACTTTCCTGCTCTGGTCGATTCTATACAATGAATCGTCTTGGCTTGATCTGACTGTTTGAGCTCGGAGATTTCATGTTTATGGACCTTCAGAAGGTTTAGTTCTGCAATGAGACACTCATGGAAAGGGGCTTTCACCATAGCGCCCCTCATAAAGGAATCAGCGTAACAGATGCCTTCTTAATGGAACCGGTATTGCATGTCCTCCATAACTAACTCCGTAGTGATGGCTAGAACATGTAAGAAGTTTGAAGCTAAATTTGCTACCCGAATTCGGTTGTTGATCACTTTGCTTATTTTCAAAACGTTGGGCTGGGAGGCAAGGGATGCTCAGTTTTCTTCTGAATCAGACCCTGCTCAAGTTGAATTTTAGGGGTCTTAATAAGAAGGTTCGATGAAAGTGAAGATCGTAGGCTGATAGCTGTTCACATTACGTGTTGTATGTACAATAGTTCCGACAGCATCACATCTCCCATGTCCTTCCGCGATTCTTGTCCTTTGTTGGCTTTGTTTCCCCTGGACATCGTTCTCTTTACGACCCTCGTCCGTGACTCTTGAGAGGACCTTCTTTAAGGGCATTGCACCATACGCTGATCCCGATCGCCCTCTCTTTTATTGATTCAAGGTGACTGCAGAATAGTGAAGGTAGCAACGAAACCTGGCAATTCGTCGAGCTCAACGTCCACAAAATAGCATTAGGCGAGCGGTCTACTTCAGTGTTGGGAAACTGTGCTCCGTCCTGCCGAAAAAACGAGGGTTGGTAGCAAGTACCACCAAAGCAATCTGCAGCCTTCAGAGGACGTAAATTTCTCGAGCGGTTGTACTTTGAAATCCAAACACTTTTCTGAGCAGTCTATTAGACGACTTTACTCAAGATCATCATATAACCGAGATTGTTTACCCTCCGAGCTGGTTACTGTTTGGTTAAAGGAGCTCAGAAGCGTCTTGTCTGTGAATTAACGTTTCTCAGAGCGAAAATCCGACGAAGGTGATACGAAGCCTATGCGATACTGCTTAACACTCTACGGGCACTCTCCAACTCTCCCACTTCACTTTCTTCAGCTATATTTTCTACAATCTTGATAGCACTATCCCAGTGAGATCCCAGTCCTCTCTTTTACTTCACTAAATAATTTTGTACGCTCCTTCCTCACTGTCTTGGCTCTGATCGAGCCATGCATCCACCCGGAGCCGATCCTTCAGTATAAGACTCATTCGAGAGGAAAAGAACAATAGCTCGGACATTGGCTGACTACCCCTCTCAAAACATTGCTAAGATGAAATCGCATTCAAAACGCCACGACTTCATGAGAGCGAATGCGTAGCATAAAGCGCGCAGAATACCATCGCGAATACGTAGAACGTTTTATTGGGTTGGAGCATAATATCGTAGCGCTTGCATTTTTCATTTCTTCACACAAACATTTGAAGCAAAAAATAAAAACATAAAACTAATCAGTGATGTTCACTTCGTCATTATTTACAACTTTGATTGCATTTCGCAGAGATCACCGGATATAGAATTTCAAAAAAATATTGAGCTCACTTTCGGAGTCCTTCTTATTCTCAATTTGTACGAAATTAATAGGGTTCTGACTTAAGCGTAATAGGTGGGGTCGGATAGAGCAAGGTTTGTTTAGGAGAATGGATTTGAAAGAACTTCCAATTCGGCGTTTTTCTTCTTTTTTTCAAACCGAGAAATAGCAGCTGTCGAAACGCCGATTTTTGCCGTCTGGATTTCCCAACTTCTAAGCTCTAAAACTCAGTACAACTACAATGTTCAAGAAAAAGACAACCACGGTTTTGTAGAGCGAGAAGAGTACTTTCAAATACTATGAGCAGTTTTTTGGAGGATACTTGTACTGACTGGATTTGTACGCTCAAAAACGCTAAAATATTCATGCTCCAACCAAATATATTTGTCTCTATCACTACTTACCCTTTATTGTTGTCTTAATCTTTGTCCTTACCTAAGTGTTGACCTCACGGTCAACCGTCGCGTTCTTACATTCCCAAAAATTTTGCTAGCTTTCCCCTTCAAGAGGGGGGGGGGCGGCGCGAAGCCCGTCCCCAATAAACCAAACGTAGTCCTTAATGTTAGCTACAGCTCAATAGCGAACCACTCTTCCCCGCCACTCCGTACCCGCCGTTCTCGTCATCATGGCTGTTGTAATATCGCGAGGGACGGCAAATCCACTGATTTTGTATAAATCACGCTACTTTCGCGAGAATCATCGAAAACTCGAAACGCAACCAAAACCACTTAACGACCGCCCATTTGCAATTTTTCTGCAGAGATTGTTACGCGCTCCCACCGCCAAATAGCGAGAGACCCGCTCCATAACACACACGAAGTAAGCAAACGCACCCTTGGCGTTCGCTGGGCCCCCGTATGCTGAATGTTGGGGAATGGATGGGGTCTCCGACGGTCGACGAATTTTCTTCAACTCGATCCTTGAAGCCGCCTCAATTCGATGCTCACTTCAGGGCTAAGCCATAAAGAGAGGACGGATCTGCAAGTGAGCGTAGGTGTCTGCCTCTAACAAGCTGTGCTCTCTCGCAGGTCCATCCTCTCTTAAAGCTTAGTCTTGAGGTAAGCATCAAATTGAGGTGGTTTCAAGGACCGCGTTGAAGTGGTCCGTCGACCGTCTCAGACCCCATCCCATCCAAAACATTCTGCATACAGCCCCAAGCATAAAAACCAAAAGGGCTGTTCGCTACTTCATCATACACACAAACATAACCCCTCTCGTTTGGATAGTGCGAATGAACGTCGACCCTGCTCAACTCCTATTTTAGTAAAATATTATTTTTCAAACGCCTTGCTCAAAGATGCTTGCTTTGCTAAATATAAGATTCCTGAGTTATGATGTCCTGTGAAAATTTCCTTCAAGCAGCGTGATTGTCGCAAGAGGTCATGAGTGAGTGTACTTTCATCATCGTAAAAGGCACTTGCGCCCACCAACAACAGCCAAGTATCTGTAGATTAGACCACATTGCGCAGAACAAGAGAAGACCTTCTCCAGCCCTCAAACTCGATCGCTTCGGTTTTCATCTTCATTTTTGTAATATTTTCATTTTGCAGGTCATATGAGCGATTTCGCCAGTCTACGACGTGGGAGTTTAGCAATGCACGTGCTGGTAACCAACTGATACCACAAGTCGACGTATACTATTCCGCCTCACCAAAAATGCCTAGAGTGAGTTCTGGTCAAAGAGACAATCAGCCATGACGTTCCATTCTATTTTCCAGAAGCTACAAGCAGTTCCTCCCCTCCCCACTCCTTCACAATTCACTTATACCCATCATAATGGAAATACTATGCTTGCAAAGACACAAGGCACGTCGATGTCACCGCCACCGGAAAAGGTAGTTCAAGCGAAGTTGGTCCGAAACCTGACCCTGGCTCGGTGCTCTCGCTGTCTACATGTTTGTTCTCTCATGTGCCGTTATTTTACCGCGAAATTTTTTTTAGATGCTGATACCCAGAGAATCGGTTTCGGTCGGTGTTTCTACTGGCCCTCTACCTCCGGCAAAACCATGTAATGAATGCGGCCCATTGCGAAAGGAGGTCCAGGAACTTCTTAAAAGGTCAGTAATCAGATCTGAGGTTTCAAATTTCGTGGGGCTCGTACTCCTAACAAAACATGCAAATAACATTAAAGCCTGTTGTGCTTTTGGATGGCCTATTACCAGAAAAAAGTAAAAAAGAGATTATTAGTTGACCGGCGGCGAGGGACGGGACTGGTGATAAAGTGAGCTACAAATCCACCAAAAACTTTTTGTGATTTACAAGCTGCACACGTTGAAGGAGGCGGATGCAGTGCAATGCAGTGGTCGGTCCTCTTCTCTACACTATCAGGTTAGGGACTGAAGATGTGCCAACCCGCAGTCTTCGCCCATACAATTAGCGTACAACGGGCTTTTTCAAGGTTCAAGGCTTGAACCTTTCGCCACTTGCATAACTGTTTACAAAACCTGGTTACGGGTTAGTATCAAATGGCGCCTAATTGTCAAAATCAAGACATCATATTCGTAGTCAGTACCATAGGGTCGCAGTGGTGTAGTGACAAGCCACGCTTACGATGCGTGCGCTCCAGGATCGAATCCTGCGTCGTCTTGGTCATTCCGGCCAAACTACCCGCTCTCTATGAACTTCGGGTCACTTAATTGTACGCTAGACTATGTTTTGGACGGTAAAAACACTACCTTACTAACATGGTGCCCCTGCAAGTCATTCTCACTACAAATGTACAATGGAAGACTCCGTGCCTCCTACCCCAAACGAATTGATCCCCGCAACATCGCTTAATCCTTATCCTTATTATCGGGACCTGTTTGAGGTCAACTGCCGCCAATCTTGGAATGCACCCCACCTTCACGCCATACGGAAGCGGTCCACTGACCGTATCTTGCAATACTTTTCTGATACTACCATAACCATTTTGCGAAAACGAAAAATGTTTATTGTGGTCCCTACAACATGCGAGAAATCATTTTGATACAGCTCAGTTTACTCTTGAAGAACCTCCTTGAAATTGAATTTTTCATATGTGAGGGACTTAGTCGCATGTCACACTCGTCGCCTGACTTCCTTACCAACTTTCCACTACTAAAACACCTCGAACAATTCTTGAATCTAAAGGAATAAATATAGGTCGCACTAGAGTTATGAATGTTGTAGCCTAGGAGGGCCCACCAAGTCGCTTTGTCATCTAAGTTATTTCCAGGCTAGCTGTAGCAGAAGCTAAACCTGAAGTACTGTCTACTGGTACCCTGACGGACGAAATCCGGACCGCAGATGCTTCAGTTGGCGAATCCACGCAGTGGTACAGCATTGGTACTGACACAGATCGGTGCAGTACGGTCGACTGTGGTGTAGACGCAGTTGGCACCGAACCTTGAGACGGCACGTACTGCGACCGCTTGCGACAGTAAGGTTTGTTCACAAGTCTGAAAGAAGGGTAATTTTCAGGAATGCCAGACTAGCTCCGCCGTGACGTCAGAAGTGGGTGTGGCTGTCCAGCCGAGTGTCGCCGACCTTGAAATGCAGACTGATGAACAAATTACTCCTAAAACCAACTTTGGAGTAAATACGGACCAAGGTGAATATTGCATGCTGGCCTACCTGCTGATCTGAGGGCCACAATTGTAAATCATTGTTTTTCAGTTGAAGACAAGCTCGAAGCGGTAGAAAAAGTCGACCAAGCGACTGCCAACGACGAGTCTATTCCAACAGTTACAGTTGATCACCGAACTATGACCATCACTCAAGATTCGGTCCCAAAAACGGAAGTGGTTGATCAGGAAACTATGACCATCGCTGAGATGGTCCCAAAAACCGAAGTGGTTGATCAGGAAACTATGACCATCATTGAGGTGGTCCCAAAAATCGAGGTGGTTGATCGGGAGAAACATGATTGCTTTGGAAGAGTTGTGCCCGAAATCCGAGTCGATTGACCGAGAAACTATGACGATTCCCAAGTATTATCGCAACATACCCAGTCAGACCATTGCTACGGAGGAAACGGAGGAGCGAGAAGTCTCTGCGGGCGCTTTTTCAATTACCATACCGGTATTTTAAAATTGGTTTACAGGTTATTCCTGCTGCTGCCGAATTCTCCGCAGCTGCTGCATCCAGTGACGCTGAATGTCAGACGGAAACAGGTGGGTTTTGGTGAGCTTCAGAATTCGAAGAGGATACTTGTTACTATCAAATGCGTTAAGGCGGTTCAGATTCCACTGTGGATTCGACCGCATCTGATGACGTCATTGGCGACGCTGTGGTCGAGTGTTCACGATGCAAACAGCGTGAGGAGACCTTCACCAGAAACGTCGGTGTGGGCGTGTGTTCCATTTCAGATAAGGTGAGGTCTAAAATTCAGTGCACACCAGTTTCAGCCCTCCTTTTACAATTTGAGAACCTTTGGAGCCTTCTTTCTGCGCGCCCCAATGTCAAACTACAACAACCGCGAGCATGGGCAGCCCCAATGCCACTGCTGTTCTTTATGGGTTCTCAACGGCGTGCCTCCCTGCAAATAGCAGAGGCATTTTTACCCGTCCCTGCTCAGTGCTATCGTGCCAGTACGGATGCTTCGAGCAGGTGCCAGCGCCCGTTCGGACAGATCGAACGGATGCGTGGGATATATTGTGGTCCGGAGGTGTCGTATTAGTGCTGACAAGTCTATCGGCCGTTTGGAACCTGCGAGTGAGATGTGCGTGAAGTTTTAACACCTTGGAGCCCACGCAGCCCATATGTGGGCTGCAGTCCTCCGACCGCATAGGACCTTTCAGCTCGCATTTCGTAAACAATTATTAGGTTTTTCATTCATTTTCTTTTCCATTTTATCCGATAAGATTTCTTCTGCATTATACAGTGGGTTCTTCTTTTGAATTTGCTAGATAATGATACCTAAAAATTTCACCGAAGGCCCGCGCGGCCACGGAACGTAAAACACGCGCGGTCTCCAAAGTGTTAAAGGCAGCGACGTAGAAGAGGAAAGTTCCTGGGATCTGGGGCCGGTAGAGGAGGATCTTTATCAATGCTGAATGAAACTGCTTGACTGGGTCGCGATACTCACCTGATGCCTCGCCTGTATAGAACAAATGCTATAGAGACAATCACTGTGGTCAGCGGTAGGGATCGAGATCCTTTGGGGCCGCTACAAGTGGTAGTGGTGAGGGTGTGAAAGGTGGAGGGACGGCGTAGCTTTTGCACACGTCTGAAGGGCTACAGTTGTCCTCTGCGCTTGAGTGCGTTGAGCGGGTTTTCGTGTCGCGTTGAATTGGAGCACCAAAAATTTTTTACTTGCGCCGACAGAACAATGTGGGTTGAACTTAGTCTGAACCATCAGATCAGCAATTGACGTCCGACAAACTGTAAGAAGGGAAATAACTGGAGCGAAAAAACCCCGTAAAAATCATGGTATCCCCAATGTTCACAGCTTCTTCCATCTAATATAGGTTGTATGAATGGCGACCAAGCTACCCCGGAAGAGTGAGCGCAACGACGCCCTAGGTTCAAAGGATTCCAGAATTTGCCACAAATTGTCGTATTATTATGGTATGTCGATGTGGACTTTCTTTGGCTTCCTCACTTTTATCGCATCCCGAAATATATGGTGAACTAATCCCGTCTGTCCTTCAACTGTTCCAGTGCTGCTAACAAAGAAGGTCTTTCAGGACACGGAGCGCTTTTCCGAAACATGGTTTTCTGGCATATTGTAGGGGCTCACGCGAGGAACACAGAACCATGATCCATTTTTCCTGAACGCCTCCAGGAATGTCAAAAAAGTTGTAAAGAAACGGTCCAGAGTTCGATCCCCGGTGATGACTAATTTTTGCAACATAGTTTGGCGCCCCCAGATTGCCGCCAAATAACGCCATCGTCGAGTATAGATGCCATTGTCGTGTTCTGAGGCAATTTGGAAGCGCCAACATTAATTGCAAAATTTGTCGTCACGGGGGATCGAGCTTTAGACCACTTCTTTCATGACATGCCCGGGGGCGTTGAGGAGAAATGAACCATGGTTCTGTGTTCCTCACATGAGCCTCTACAACATTCCGGTAACCATTTTGAAAAAAAAAACGCTCCACGTCCTGAAAGACCCCCCCTCTTGTAAGTTCAAAGTGTTAACTGCTCGAATTTTCTATGACTTTTCTTGTAGGTAATATCACGAATCATCAAAAATCTCCTGTCTTAGAAATTCAATTTGAAGATTAATTCGAACAATTGATTAGCAGACGAATTCCAGGTCGAAAAAGATGACGTCCGTTCCAAGGAGTTTGACCGAGCTCGAGTTGAGGCCGTCAAGAAGCTGCTGACGTCTGAGCAGAAGCAGCCATTTATACGTGGAACGCCCATCTCGCGTAGCGCTCGAATTGAGAGAAACAAAGGAGATGATCTCGAATACATCACTAATAAGAACAGGGTTAGCTTCATTTGTCTTATGCTCTTCACTATCAGGATGGCATTGGCAGCTGCTCACCAATCTTCATCCATTTTCAGGCTTCTTCTGAAACTCCACAGACACCTGCTTCAACACCATCCGGTGAGAACAAGGACGCATTGAAAACCAAAGTTGTTCTCAAAAAGGTGAATAACGTGCGCACATGATTTGCATTATTTATTGCAGTATGCACCATGGGTGGAGTTTAGCGACTAAAAGCAGCTACATTAGAATCAAGTAGACGGCGTACAGTGGTGCAGTGAAGAAATTACCACCAAAAGGGCCGCAAACCGCAAAATGAGACGCTTTCCTTGCTCGTTGGTTTTCCTTACTGATGAACCCTCATGGCGCCAGCCCTCTCAAAGGAAAAAAGCTCTCTCTGCCAAATGGCTTCATGCGGTGAGCGATTAGCCAGTCAATGGGCGGACCGCGCCGATCGCGCTACGGGGAGGGGCACGCTAGATCGCCGAGCGCTTCCTACACTACGAATTGGTTTAGGTCTACCTGTCTCTCCATTGGTTAAGTTTTCCTTCTTTACCTTATCCATTCACTCGTCATGAATTTTTTCCAAAAGGGATCCTCTCTGCAAATCTCTTGCCTTCCTGATCCAATATAAGTGTCAGTTAATGATCCTGATAGAGAACATAACAAATTAAAGCACAAAGATTTAGTTTCTGAAAGAAATTGTCGAAAATAAATCAATGGACGGTCGAATATAAATAGTCGAGCATACAGGGTGGCTACTAAATATTGGCGCATGGTTAATTGACCATATTTCCAAAAAGAGAATCTATTAAATCTTCAGAGGTTTATCTTTATACAGTAGAACATAACAATTCATTACTAGAGAAGATGCTCGGAAAGAAGTCCTCCGGCGGCGATACAGGCTTCAAGTCTCTTCTCAACTGACATCACCGTGGGCCGCAAGCAGTTTTCGTCGAGTTACTTCAACGCTTCCTCCTAGGAAGCCTTCAGGAAGTCCAAACTTCGATGTTGCCTAGAAGGCATCTTCTGCTGCAGGAAGCCCCACACCGCAAAATCCATTGGGTACAATCGGGTGAGCTTAGATGGCCAAACAATGCTGTGACGATAACCCTAGAAGCGGCACAAAGCAAGACAAATAGGAAAAAAATGAGGGGATAAATAGAAGGAGTGAGATGAAGAGAAGGTAATTAGAAAGAGTGAATAAGGAGGGAAGTAGGAGAGAGGGGAAGAAGGGGAGAGAAGAAACGAAGGAAAGCGTGGTAATAGGAAGGAAGATGAAAGAGAAATAAGAATATAGGAGAGACGAGTAAAGAAGAGAGACAGAAGATGAGGATAAGTAGGAGGAAGAGATGAGAAAATAGTATGAGATAGGAAAGATAGGGAGAACGAAGAGAAAATATAAGAAAGAAAGAGGAAGTAGAAGAGGAAATAAACAAGCGTAGATTTTGCGTCTAGCTAGCCGAAAAAGCACTGACATTTGCTGGAGGTCGAAACAGTCCATGGAAGGAGCACACCATGTAAAATTGTTTCCTGGTAGATTGGGCGTTAATTTTGACCGATTTGTCCACAAAGACAAACGGTGTATCGGTGTCAGAAGTAATTCCTGCCTAAATAGAGACATCTAAAAAGAGAGATTACACCAATGCGAGACAGAGTAATATAGGAGAATAGCGAAACATCACGCTATAGATATGATGACACAACGGGGAAGAACTTTAAGTCGGAGACAGAGAGAGAAAGAGAGCGCTGACTAACAGAGAAATCGAAAAGAAAGCCACAAAGGGAACATTAAGCTAGATGATATATAAGACTAAGATATATTAAGTAGAGAGAATATGAGAGACGAGAGCGCACAAGCATAATCACCCACACAAGTGAAAGAATAGATATAGATTGCAAAAGGAAAAGTTCTACGATATGAGATGTATAGCACTAATACAGTGGCAGGGCACAAACAAATCATAGAGAAGAGACCAGTAGATTAAGAGAAGAGAGAATTATAGAATACGAGAACGTGGTATACGGACTATGAATAAGAAGAATGAAGAAATGATAGAGGCAAATATAAAGAGATTGAGCGAGTCAACCATTTCGAGCCAACCTTCTCAGTGGTGCCGCTGATACGGTTTACCCTGTATGTTAAAAAATAAAACTTCCTGGAAAATAATCGTAATAGTTTCTCTTTGCGCAAAAAAATCATGTCAACTAAACCATCGCACAATAATAGGTCGGGCATAGTAGACTAGGGAGCGTATGGAAAGAAGTGCGCCCTGAAGCGGCCACGTATTATTGAACGCATCAAATGAATCCAATTAAAGCGTTAGATTTTGGAGGATGGAGACAAATCGATCAATAGAACAGGATGCAGCAGAATTGTGAGGTGTCAGTGCATCAAGTCAAAGGGTCAAAAAAAGTTACTACAGAGGGCACTCCGAGCCAAGTGGAAGCGTTACCCGCCGCCAGCATTTGTGACAGATGTACGGCGGGAACATGAACGCGGAGCAGTCCCTCTGGTTAATCAAGCTGTTTACCAGAACAAACGCAATTTCTTGTTCTTTTCGCTCTTATCGTGACCAGTGATTCACGATAAGAGCGAAAAGAACAAGGAAATTCCCTCAAACCAGTGATTTATGGGTGAGATAGAGTCACACCTCTTTTTGGGATCACTCCTTCAAGCACTTCGATCAAACACAGAAAAGTGATAATATCAACAGCGATAAGAATCTAAACAAAATCAAACAAAGGAGCAGCTACTACGAATTGTGAAGGTTGACATACCTTTGAAGGAAGCAATGTACCCCTGAGGAAAAAAAGCGCACTTGTCTCATAACCTAAACTTGGAAAATTTCTGTAGCACTCTTTTTACCCGTATAGGTTAGGTCATTGTGAACCTTTTTTGGGTTTTGTGAGCTTGGAAAGAGTCTGGAGAGAAGAATCAGGTTCTCAGACTAAAACTGACATGATTTCAGAGAACAGCACCATTTAAATCACAAGCTACTGTTCGAATTTTTCCAGGAAATTCCACCTCCACCGTCGAATCTTCCTGATCCGGTTCCGGCTAGAATACCACGACCGAAAATCAGTAAATATGTGGCACCATCTGAAAACGCTGAGACACCTGATGAGGAGGAAGAAGCTGCCGATCGACTTACTCCACTGAGAAGTGAGCTGCGAAGTCTTGGAAGGTAAATTTGAAGCTATCGTGATTTCTAGTGTGCCAGAATAACACAAGAAGATGGATCTGCTGAAACTCACTTCCTTTTCAGGTGGCCAAGGTCAAACGCACAAGGTGCCCTATTCTCCATACAAGACTGGCAGGTACGTATTCCCTTCAGCTGAGCAGGCTAACATTGAATCTATCGATTCTTTTATTATTGGTTTCATTATTTAGCGAGTCTGACGATGATTCCGATGATTCCGAAGGCAGTTACGATACGCATGAAGACGGGGTCGATTATGA